CAGAACACAAACCAATTAAAACACAGAAAATCTGATCTAAGCCCCACTGAAGTTTCTGAGGAGGCCTTTCATCTTTTCATATACAATGCAGTTATTGATACAAATACAGCAATACACATATCAACACTACAACTGATCCAAAGAGGTTGGCCCTGAAACACCTGTCACCAAAACACCACACTTGCACTACAAATTTGGTAGCTGGCACAAACCAATTAAAACACAGAAAATCTGATCTAAGCCCCACTGAAGTTTCTGAGGAGGCCTTTCATCTTTTCATATACAATGCAGTTATTGATACAAATACAGCAATACACATATCAACACTACAACTGATCCAAAGAGGTTGGCCCTGAAACACCTGTCACCAAAACACCACACTTGCACTACAAATTTGGTAGCTGGAAGGTTCCTCCCCAGGAAGTTCTCATTTGCTCTGTGTATGAGGCTTTTCAGAGATGTTAATTTAGTTCTACACTCCATTTCTTTCTTCAGATATGTCTCAGAGGAGGATATCAGTTCAACTAACCACACCTAGGGACTGCAGGAACTGTAAAATGCAACCAGGACTCTACCTTACAGTCTCCCTCCCAAAGAAATACCTCACTCAGCTACTGCCTTTTGAAGCTTCTATGTAACAAATGCTATTCAATATATTATCCACGTGAGACTACACAGATTTCCCCTCCTGTTTTTGTTTTAAAACTCTGCAGGAAAAACTTGCCATACTGTCACTACTCATAGCCTTGGGACTATGAACAGATCTGTAGGGATGACAGTTCAAGCCCAACTCATGGTGTAATGTATCTGGGTATAGTGAGTTATGATAGCAAAACAGGTGAATTGCAACAACTCAGTCCTCTTGAACAAGGCTATGAGTACCCCCTTTAACTGTGTATGCATACCTGTATATCTAGATATAGATATCTACACACACACTAATACACACCTCACTACATAGATATTTAAATCCATCCCCACAGTTGGTCCTCCTGCTCGTGGCTCTGAGGAGCAACTCCCTTGTGTCACATGCCACCCACCTGTCTGTTTCTGAGCCTCTCCACACCTGTGCTGGTGTTTCGCACTCTGCCGCGAGGGGCTGGAAGTGCTCACCACGAGACATGGAACTGAAACAGGCATGGCGAAACGAGGACTCACCGCTCACGAAGAAAGTCACTGTTTGCACAGAAGACAGCGTTTGCTCTCCCCACCCGTTAGTCCATCAGGTAAATAATGCACGTGCCAAAACACACACTTAATGAGGTAAATAATATGCCTTGAATAACGGCTAAATCTGTATTTACCTGCGAGACTAGAGAAACTCAGAAGGACCAGATTAGGAGATAATTGCTGCTAAGCAGGTTGTGTGCTTCAAGTAAACACGCATTTGGTAACCTTTCCTTTCCAAGGTTTTGAGTGAAAGGCAAAAATCAAAGAACCTGAGATGTATAAGACTGAGCCAGTGCCCACACTGCCAATTCCACGGCATACATGCATCCCTGCTGTATGGCTTTCATGTTTTGGGGACTGCTTGCTTTACTGAAAGTGTGCCAGGCAGCAGGTACCTGGAAAACAGAAAACTCAAGTTGCAAAGCCAAAATGAAGAGCCCAACTTGGCATTTATTTTAAAGAGGCTCCGTTCTACCTATTGCTTTTCCACCTACAGCATTGACTGTCATTAATAAATGCATTACAGCCAAATAGAAGTTAGTTACATTCTCTTCTAACCTGTGCCAGATAAGAGATATTTAAGGTATACATGCTATAAATCCTCAAGGTACTGGCTATGAATGTAAAGGCCCATCACAGCAATTATAATACCTCAGAATAAAGCAGCTTGTAAGTTAGTTGCAGTAAAATCTGGTCTTTAGCCTACTGCATAAAGTAAAATACACAGTTGGAGTGGGGGAGGCAGGCAGGCTCCAACCTCTATATCAAACACAGGCAATAAACCATACATTATCCACCCACACACAGCAAGATCAGTACTTCTCCAATATATCTTAACTGGCAAGACTAGGGCATCTGACATGGACCTCACGAATCTTCAGGCTGGGCCATACCACACACACACTGGTGCAGAGGTTCCTGAGCCACCATGTTCACACGACAAAGGTAAACCAGCAACCTCAGCTGGATTCAGGCACATCGTCACACAGACGTGGCAGGACTACTCCAAACCCTGACAGGTCTGTGTCAGACAGGCACCGTGTGACATCAGCAGAGGGAAGTAACAACCAACATCTAGTGCCTGTTTACACTAGCAACTTCTGCAGGGGTCCATGTCTAACAATAGGACCAGGCCCTCCATCCTAAAAGCAGCCTCCCTCCCTGCTCGCCCATGTAGCAGAGGCAGCAATGCTCTGAACAAAGGTGCATGGGTGGGTACTGCATGACGATTCCCCTACGCAGACAGCATACAAATAAGGGCAACCCCACTGCAAACTCTGCACCTTCAGCCAAATGAAGTTTTAACAGCATGTTTGCCCAGCCACTGCTCTGGGTGCCCTGGGAAGACCTCACGTCATCTTCTTTGGCAAGGTCAGAGTGCCTCAGAGCACAAGATAGCTGGTGAGCAAACACACTTTATTAGAAGTCATGTAAAGCATTTATAATGGCTATGACAATGCAAAGCGCTAGTAATTATCCTGTATGTTTCCAACAGACAACAATGCAAGCAATGCAGCTTCAAAAATTAGAAACACGGCTCTATCCATATAAATCCACATGCTCAATGATTCCATTTCCAAACCTACATAAAACACCACATATATATTTCTTATGCACACAGGATCAGATTATAATCTCAGACAGTGCAAGCTGTCACATCTGGCAGTCAACCCTACTAGGTTAATATTTCATATCACACAGCTCAAATTCCTCAGAGAGATATGTATGAAATGTAATGGGTCCAGGAACTGAGGCTGGACCTCAGAAATTATTTTGACAGATTGTACACAGACCTAGGAAAATGTGACAGCACTTTACATATGCTACATCCAGTAAGAAGGGAAATGGCCACATGTGGTGGGTTTCGGGTAGAAGATAAAAGTTTGTGTTCTGTGCTGTGTTAGACTGTGTGTCCCGTGTGACATTACCAGCTATAATCAGCATCTGCCTTTTAGAAATAATTTAGAAAAAATTAATCTCTGGACATCAGCCATGGGTACCAGAACAAGCTTGGGCAGACCACAGCTCTTGCTTCTTAGCAGTCCAAGCACATAGCAGTAAAGTACAACACTTTGATCACCAGCAAGTAAGGAAAGCCAAGAGAAAGCCAAGTGCCAGCTGTAGCCACCACCTTTGCCAGGGGCCCCACCGAGTGCGAAGCGAAGAACCTGCACCGGAGGCTGCTGTGCGCCAGGCTTCCTGCTGGGAAAGCTGCTTAGGGACAACCAAAGCAGCAAGGAACAAGCTAAGAACTGCCACGTGAAGAATGCTGGTGACAAGTGCCAGCAGGGCATTGCGAGCACTCTTCCCTGTCTGCGGGACAACCCCAAAACCAGAAAGAGAGATATGCACCACACAAGCTCCAGAGGATTCAGATTCATCAATGGCAAGACAAATTCGCCTATGAACATGAGCTTAACGACTCTTTGCACATAACATAAATACGAACTTTTTACAACCGCATCTAATTAAAGTCACTCGGCAGCAAGAGAAAGGCATAACTTTCACAGCTTGTCTTTGACTCCAAAATATTGCCCTTCACTGTCCAGTTTGATAAGCTGAGTAGGGAAGGGGCGGAAAGACAACACCTAACTTCAGGTTGAAGGAGTGACCCCAAAAATTACAGGTTTTATGAGATCCTCCACTTACATGTCAAATTAATTTGTTATAGCAGTACAGCCCTCCACCATATCAAAAAATAAACAAATTGAAGAAGAACCCACACTAATCTAATGGACAAGACAAACTGAAATTAAAAAATAAAAGCAAGCAAGCTCTGGGAGTAAAACACTTGTTTATTCCCTGTGCAAAGCCTGGGTAGGGGCAGCTGTGACTCCTGGTCTCTGACAGACAACTGAACTCCAAGCTAAAGCAATCAAAACCAATCAAAAATGTAAGTCAGGTTTGTCTATTTTATTAAATTATACGGAGTAAAAAGACAGGCTAATAAAGATGCTTTTTGTCGACCAAAACTGCATGCATTTAGCAACACCTGTAACACAGTATAAGAAAAAAAGCAGGACTTCAATTTTGGTAGCTGTTCAAATGCATATTCAGAGATCAAATGTGAGCCCATATTTCACTTGTGTGAAGATATAACTGAAGAACAATAGAGATAACTCCAGGGTTTTTTTTTAAATCAACCTTAACCTAAACCCAAGTATTTCATTAGATGAACTACAGTCCAAAAATGACAGCACCTGGCTAGACTGTGAGGCAGGAAACGAGAGACTATGAACAAAACCAGCTTATCCACTCTCACCATTCAACTTGCCAAAAAAAATAAATACATAAAGTAAAACAAACAACAAAACACAAAGCTTTTAGAACTGTTTAATAATGTAACACAATTTTAGACAGGTAAATTTGCTTCTTTGTTAACCTCACAGTATCATCCCTTGAACATGAATCCAGTACACTTCATGGCTGCATTCCCTTCACTTTTGGCTGGGTTTGTCTCTGGCACTGCTAGACAACCAAGTGTGTGTTTTGGAAAATTCGTACTGTAACTTTCCCAAAGCA